TATCATGAAAAGGTAAAGACTATTGCTATCAAACTAAACTTGGTTCATGATGTTCTTGAAGAAGACAAGGTCTCTATTTAGAAGATAGATACCAAAGAGAACTTGACCAATATGTTAACAAATATGCTACCCGCAAAGAACATAAAAAATTACTGGGACTTGGTTAATTTTCATAAGAGGTAAGTCCCTTCGTGGAAAACTGGAAAGAAGGAGATGATTCTTAGGAATCCTTGATGCTTGAAGACAACTCAAGTCAGGATGGAGAATTGTTAGAATGTGACTTGAAATTTGGTGATCCCAATGAATTTATGATCCGAGCGGATGAAAGTGAAAAAACTTGAAATGAAAGATCTAAGGGATAAGTGTTTGGAGTAGGCATAGGGTCGTTAATGGACCTATTTTATTATGACCTACAACGGGTGCTAGGGGTACAAACGCTACGGTATGGACCGATTTTCTTTTGTTGAATTTAGTTGTGTAAGTTCTAGGTTATATAGTTATTATGGGTTTTACGATTACAAATACTCATCGCTAGGGTTCTTACTGTATCAAATTTGAAACAAGTGAGTAATAGAAGATATATATAATTACTTTCCGTGGACGTCGCTTATATCGCCTAAAAACGTTAATTCTCTTCCATTTCCTTAGTTTTGTTTTCTTGATTACTATTAAAAGGTGACCTACACATAAACTCTAACCTATAGACTTGAATACACAATATGATCAACCGAAACATATTCAATTTGATATGCCTCCATCAGCAAACGGTAGGCGTGAACCTAAATGTCCGTATATAAATATAAATCTCACGAAATGGGCATTTGTTTGGTGAATATGTTACAATTGGTGCTTCTTTCGAGGTAAATAGAACTTATAAATATTTGTAAGCAACTTCTCTTGCTCACAATTGAAGTCGTCTGATGTATGTTTCATCCAAGCATGAAACACTAGGATGACAGAGAGATAAAGGGGAAAAATAAGTATGTTTGAAGATATTTATACCAAATCTAATCAAGTGTTTCACAAAGGCACTAATATTTTGTATAAGAGTGAGAAAATATCTTACTCTTCAGACAAGAACATGAAACAAATTTTCTTCAAGGAATATTGCAAAACTTCTACTGTAATATTGTTTATTTGTGGAAGATGTTAGTATATATCTATTATAACTCAAGAAGAGTTAGATAGATTAGTCTGCGACAAAAAGAATATGTGAAAGTGTTTAAAGAAAGAAGAGAGTCAAGACACATAAAGATTTTGTAACAATTACTGTCTCAAGTTTATTTTTTTTGTATGAAAAAGGAAATATATGTTAGAGTTAGTTTTGCATATTGAATCCCCAAACAATATGATTAAATAAATATCATTAATAATTGGCTCGGTGGACTTATGAGATTATGGTCTAGATAGAGAGAAAAGATATGACAATGGGTTCGCATAAGATAATGCAACCTCTTTGATAAGTTATAGAAATAATGTTTATGTGGAAGGGGAAGACTTATGTCATAATGAGAAACTTAAACAACAAAAAAGTTGCGAAGAGGAACCAAATTTTTAAATGAAAGTGAGAGGAAAGAAAAATAATGAAGCAAATATGATATAGGTCCGAATATGGTGACTATTGTATGGTATGGGAGTGAGAAGACCTTTCAAAGGTGTTGTTGAATATTCTATAAAGAATTGTTTTAATCACTAAATATAATTGCACTTTTGAAAACATTTGGAGAAAAAGTGTAATGACATTTTCACAATATTGCATCCAAAGGAAATAATTCATATAAAATAGACATCAGTTCTATTGATGTACCAAAGAAGTGATTTGGAAGCATCCTAATATATTTAGCTTCCTTGTCCCAATAATAAGAATTTGACTGATGTGGATCATTGAGTTTTGAAGAAGTTTATCATATATTATACTAAATTCGTAAAAATACCTTTGAGGATTCACTTGAAGCTCTCAAATAGGCATTCACAACAAAAAAATGAAGTAAAGGAATAGATGAATATAGTTCCTACGTATCATTAATGGGTAGCTTGACGTATAATTTTATGATATTTGTAAGAATAAACACATTGAGTCTTTGAGGAAAATTCTTTGTAATAAGAATCTAACATATATGTCTACCAAGATGGTGAGAACGGAGAAGTTGAAGCTATACTGAAATTCAAATGGTTTTCCTAAATAATATTGGTGATAAGGCGGAAAACTAGAGAGTGAAGGTTACACATCTAACATCCGCATAATAGGCCTAGAATTTTAGCCTTTTTTAGTACAACTTAGTTTTCAAAGATTTTTTTTTTTAATAGTAAAATTAAATATTTACTAATTAAAAAATGAATAGAAATAAATCATTATTAATTAAATTAAAAGTTTATAGAGTATCATGAAGTTGAATTGGGTGCAAATATTAAATTAAGATAACGGAGACTAAAACTATCAATTCTATGAAACTTAGATTTGACAAAACTTAGGTTGAAAATGTTAAGATGTAGATTTTCCAGATTCTTACTGGAAAAATAATATAACTTGCTAAGACTTGTTAAGGTTAGGTGGTCCTATTAGTGTTCAACATAAAAGTAAACGACCATAATTGTAACTTGTCAAAGATTAGAATGAAATTCAGATTTAGGAAGGATGATGAATAGTGATTTTCTCCAAGATGAACGATTCAAATTCATTTAGAAGTGCCTATAAAGGATTAGAGTTAAAATCCAACTTCGAAAGCCTTAAACATATAATTCCTTCCTATTAAATCAATCTAGGGTTTGGGGATTTACCGCAATCTAAAATTTATGTTGATTAAGAGCATTGGAATGAGTTGATAACTTTGTTTTAACCAGGTGTTCATGAATCTACACTCAAATCACCCATACATTTTTTAATTTGGAGCTTGAATGCCATTTGGAAGTTCCAAACCCAACCAATGATAAATTCAAGTATAAGTGATCTAATGAAACTATCATTAGGAGACATGATCATTAATGGAGTTAGTTTGAGATTTTAAACTTGCTTAATAGCTTCAATAGAGTTTTAGTTTTATATCGTGATATGAACTAGAAAACTACTTGTTAGAACTTCATGTCATAAATCTAAACATGCAAAGTCCATTGTATTCCCGTGTGTTGATGATTTTGAGATTATATCCCATTGTGATGTTCATGTGACAATTATTGATCATAAGAAGTTTTTGGGAGTTCTAAGACGTCATTGAATCCTTAACCCTTGTGTAAATAATGTATTATAAATGTTTTAAAAATCTTTTAAGATGTTAGTACACATTTAGGATCATTGGAAGTAGTTTAGGAGGTGTTGGAAGAGGTTTGAACAACTTTAAATAAAATCTAGACAAAACTATATGTAATTGTTCAGGATATAAATGTCTGCAGTATGGATATGATATATGGCCATGTCTACAATATGTTATATGGCCATGTCTACAATATGTATATTTATACATGCAATATGGATATCTATGTCTCAACTTTGGCAAATTCACTTTAAAATGATTGCATAACTTCCTTATTATTTCTAATTGGTTATACATAATAGGTTGGAAGTAAGGCTTAGACTAGATTTACGCAATTAGTCATTGTTAATAATAGTTGACCATTAATTAAGGTTTTGTTCGTGCTTAGAAGTGAAGTGATATTAAGAAATAATGTAAATAAATACCAGAAGAACATGTTTTTATAAACAGTTATAGATGGTTTTGAAATTACTTCTATATAATACAACTCTTGAATGCTATTTGGATATTATATATACTTGGTGCATTCATGAAAACTATTCTCAAAAGGGTATTCCTATGGGGAAAATGTATGATTTAGAATGAACGTATTTGAGCATAATATATGTTCATATCACCTAGCATGCGTTGACTTAAGTCTTTCCCTGCCACTTTTGGGATAATCCCATATGCGATACTATTTGACGCATATTAGTTACCGGATTTCGGTATAAGCTACCACATAAGCTAATATGCTTATGGGATATGCGTTACAAACCTATTCATCATTTCATGTGGGATGATTATATGCTTACAAAATATAGGATTTATTTTTGGGCATCTAAACACGTTTTAGGCGTGATGTCACTATTTTATTTATGACATTCCTACAATGTTGACTCTTAGTATGAAAAGGCTTTGTTGAGAAAGGAAACTTGGGTTAGGCAATCTGGAAGTCGTATGCATTGAATTTATGTTGTGATAAAGTTTTATTATTGTTTGACATGCTTAAAATACTTTTGTCCCAAATTCTATAATAAACACTTTTCATGTTTGTTTGAAATACTTTGGGAGTCGAATGTTGCCATTATCCAATCCCCTTCAAGAGCTTATGTCATGATTTATTTATAACTAGGCCCCAACCATAATATTATACTTTTTACATATACTCAAAACAGAAGATTATTTGAAGATTGCTTGGCCAGTTAGAGCGCCAAACCCTATGTAATGGTTAAAACTTAACTTTTGTTTTGATATGTATTGATCACACTCATATACTTATCTTAGACACTAAAACGGTTTGAATTTCAACTTTTGGGACATAAATTCCCCAACTAAGATTTAAAATGCATAAATGTTTTCAAAAGCAATATTAATTAATTAATTCTAGCTTACACACATTGGAAGACTTTTAGGTTGTTGATAAGTCTCCAAGTGCGATATTGTTGGGCTGTAGAATATGATTGCTTTTTGACCTTATTGTTGCTACTAGGACCTAGTACCGGTTCCTGCACTATACGTATAGATCTCATTGTAATTGTAAACATTGTTACAAAATAATAAAACCTCTCTAACCACGTGTGGACCTAGCATTATTACCTAATCACGTGAATCACATAATTCTTCTTCCCTCTATCATTTTTCTCTTTTTGTCTTTATTTGTATGTTTTTGGTTCTGAATTCTAACAGACAAATGGGTAGAACAAATGATCCATGAAGCTGAAATGCAATGCCAGTTAGACTTGCTCGAGATAAAAGGTGTGGCAGTATCTCTTAATCACCAATTAAGGTAATGGCGACTGATGTACGACTAATGGTAGAAAGTGCAATGGTGGGAGGAGAAAGAAGGCGGAATTCTATAGGTTTGGCTCTTATATCCCAAACACAATATAATCATTAAATATGAAATTGATATGAAAACTTCGAATAATACCTTTCCATATTTGAATATCCTCTTCATGTGTTCTGTAAACTGGTGTTGCTGACCAAACGAAGTAACCTCCGGGGCGAAGCATACGATTAACCTCCAAAAGAAGGATGCCACCTTAAAAGAAACGAAAGCAACATCTACTTTAAACAGTGTGAATGATTGTAACACCTGTGTTTAAGGTAATATATAATGAAAGAGGTGAAATGAGAACCTTCTTTGTGCCAAGGTACTCTGCAATGAGCACAATGTACAAGATCAAAAACGTTACTAGGAAATGGAAGGCGTTGAGTGCCCATAATGGCAGAAGAAATCGCAGGTATCCCTCTTTCTAAAGCGAATTGGATTTGAGCTTCATGGTCATCTCTAGGGGCGAATGACATTGCTAGAACGTCTTTATCGAAGAGATATCCTCCAAAATTCGCTACACCACATCCTACATCAAGAATTACTCTTGTGTGCTTTCCCCATGCAATCTCAGGCACTGCCTATATTGATTTTAGATATATTTTATAAGTTCTATATAAATATATAGTTCTTCAAACTGGTTAATACTTTTGTATACGAGTTCTCTCACCTCTTCTAAGAAGTCAATATAATGAACAACACCATGTATTAACCGAGTTTCAGCACTAGGGAAAGTGATGATTTCTCCTGTTACTTTCACGGAGTTAGGGCGCCCCTTTAGGTTTGACAAGGCCTGGCTAGGCACGTTATGGAGCCATATCTGCCATTTATATCCTAATATTCGTTAAATAAATCTGATTTAATGTACAAATAATAGAACTTATAAAGAAGGGAAAAGACACAAATACCTACAAACTTTCTAGGGTTTACCCATTGAGTTTCTAAAGTTTTTATCGGACTGTATGGGTCCCTAACTTAGGATATGATATGCTCTTTTAGTCCCTATCAACGTGTAGTAGTCGGTTTAGTGACATTTTAAACCAAAAAAACTAACATTATGCCCCTATAAAACCAAAAAAATAAGTTCGGGGATCAATTTGTAAAAAAAAACTCTCATTTTCTTTTAAAGCGGATTGACACTCAATTCATATTGATCCACAAATTTATTTTTTTTAGCTTTATAGAGGCACAATGTTTGTTTTTTTTATCTAAAAGATCACTGAACCGGCTATTATAGGTAGACAAGGACTAAAAGAGCAGATCAGATCTTAGTTTAGGGACCAATTAAGTCCGACAAAAACTTTAAAGACTCAAAGGGTAAACCCTAAAAAGTTCGTAGGCCATTTGTGTTATTTTCCGTATAAAAATCACCTATACCAAGAAAGAAGGGCTTGATAAGTAAGAGTATTCGTACTCTATCTCGACTTTGAGGCCATGGAATAGGTGTTCTATAGCCCCCTTGGGAGAGGGACAAGACAATCGGGAGTCTCCTTTGGGCAATGTCTCTCCTTGTGTTCGTTGTGTTGCCAATGATGCAAATTTCTAATTGCTATCTCGTTATCCAAACAAGGTATGTAGTTTGTCCCAGCCTTGACGTTGCATAACTTCCATTGGTACCCGTACATGTCAATATTATCTGCCACCTTACTAGTCTCACTAGCACCATTAGTATCTTCTTCTTGTCTCTCCTTTTGGTCTTCTGGTTGATCAAACTGAGTTTCTGATTCATGTGGTATTTGAGAAGATCGCTGTTTAACTGCAGCTAATTGGGTTGTGTTGGTTTCGATCTTAGCTTGTTCCATTTTCTGTCTAACATCTAATTCTTCTCGATTTTCAGCTTGGGCTCTTGTCTCGGATGCAATTGAGTGAGATTTTATTGGTTCATCATCATCTTCTTGAACTTGATCATCAGTCGTCACCTCTTGTTGAGATTCTCCTTCTTTATCTTCTTCTTGTTCTTCTTTTTCTTCTTGATTCTGCATCCTTTTTTCTTTTCCTTCATTGACACTTTCTTGTTCCTTGTTGTCTTCCAATTCCTGCGTGTCATCTTCACCACCAGGTTCTGTTTGTTTATCATCTTGCTTCCCCATATCACTTTGTTGATCATATTCATTTCCACTATCTTGATCACCCCTCGTCATGGTATTTTCATTAATCTTTTGAGTTATTTGCTTCTGTTCCTCTTCAGCCGATGCTTCCCCTTCCATTCCATTCAAGCTATCTTTGACTACTGTAGTCGATATTTCCATTTCTTGTTTTTCTATAGCTTCCTCTTGGAGTTGCTCAGCCTCTTGTTTTCCCGCATCACTATCATTCAGACTCTCGGCATCATCATCTGCCTCATTGCCCTTGCTTTCTTGTGTAGGTTTCTCTTCGCTATTAGAAACCCGAACCTCACCCGAGCTTTCATCCACCTGGAGCTTGTAATCTTTGCCCTTTTCTTGAATGTTTTCCAGATCATTGTGTGATTTCGATTCATCTTCATTTTGCATAACATCCATGAGAAAATCGCTATGATTGTCTTCAGAAAGACTAGCGTTAGTGGTGTGATCAAGAAGTTTATCTTTACTAGCGTCATCGGGGATTTTTCGATGGAACTTTACAAAACGACGTTTGATATCTGACAAAGTATCATCACGCAAGTTATTGATCTGAGTGGTGGTCGATGGATAAACAGCTGAACTGGACGTGAGCATCCAGACACCTAAAACACACACCGTCACAAGCACCGCCATTGTCACGGCCGAAGAACATGAAATGCCGGAAGATCTCTTGTTAGCACGAGGTTTTCCTATCGCCATTGTTGTTTCATGAAGGGAAGAGAGGGACTAAAGTTGAAAAGGTGAAAAAAGACCTGATGAAATGTCAAGGAGAAGATTCAGCAACGTTTGTGGAGTTGAAATGTCTCAAGATCCAAAATAAATGGGCCGGGAAAAATAGTTTTTGCTCTTCTCATGTGTTTTATGGCTTCTTGTTGTACTCATGTAGACTAACCATAACCACGCTAAATGGTTGTGTTTTTGTATTTTGGAGGACGGATCTTACCCTTTACTAGATACTGCATCGTAGACATCTCAGAAACATTGTTTTCTATTTAATTTAATTTATTTTATTTAGCTAGGGGGAATTTTCATCTCTAATTATTTAGAAACACATTTCATCAGTTAGGTGTGTAAGACTACTAGCTAGATATGGACCAGATGGCGGTTGTAATAAAATTGATCAATCGCAATCGGTATAAACCCATTAGAGTGGTCGCCAAAGTGAATAAGGATTGTTAGATGTATTTGTCATTGAAGAGTGGTCAATCTTTAGAGCAACAATTTCTTCGTTACTTAAACAACTCGTCTCCCATGTTTGATAGCTTCCTTTTACTTATTTTGGTTGCAGGTTCTGCCAACTTTAGACTATATAATTACCTACACATAATGTTCAACATTCTATCGATGTAGTGTAATTCTTAGGCAATTAGACATCTGGGTGAGTGCGGTGCGGTTATTTGCCAAAACCTCGCCACTAACAACAATTGCGGTTAATTCATTTTCAAAACCGCTTGGTGCAGTTACTTTAGCGGTGCGGTTTTGTTTTTTATGTGTTTTGGTTATTAACCGTATGGATTTGGTGCGGTTATTTTATGTGGTTTTAAACCATAGTTTACAGTTCAGACGGTTTTCAGAATTCAATCATATTATTTGTAATAATAATAACATGAATAAGATATAAGACAATTACCATAAATCACAAACAATTAATATCTTAAAAACATGAAATCATTACTAATTAAAAATAAATATCTTAAAATTGTGAAATTTAACCATTTTTCAAAGTTACACATAATAAAAAACAAACACTTTTGTCTTCTAGAATTATATCTTTCCTTCATCCATAAAATTTGACTTATTTTAATATTTAATATATTAATGACTAACAAAGAGAAATTAAATATAATATATGTGGTCCATTGTGGTTTTTTTTTTTTTGTGGTTTTTTTTAAACTAATAACCCTACCGCACCGCAACTTTGCAGTTTTTGAAAAACTGAAAACCTCATCATCGGTTTTTATTGCGGTTGTAATTTAGCGGTTGTAGTTTATGCGGTAAATTTTAGTTGCAGTGCGGTTTTTGCTCACTCCTAGACATTAATTCAACAAATTTAATAGGATTTATTATGTTATAAGAATAGATGGATAAAACCTCCCAAACTTTATTCCAAACTTCCAAGATTGGCTGAAAATAACCGTTGTAGAAGTACTCTCTATTTCTAATAAAGAGTCGATGGAATCACGAATTAAGTATATTTTATCACAATATTCTCAAGAAGCAAGATATATCGATTTTGTGTCTAAATAGTTGCACATCCGAAAGTTTTGAACAAATTAATAATAAATGATACACTTATTTCACTTTGGTATATGAAACCCTCCACTTTTTGAACCCTTTCCAGCAATCAACCTCCTAAATAATTAGTTGAACTTATTGGCAAAGTCCTTTTTCAAGATTCACTAACATAATTAGCACAGTTGGTAACACTTAATTATCCAACTCATATATTACCACTATCGACGAGTCTCATATTGTTTAACATTATCTGTTTTTAGTGAACTTTCGTCATATTTGTCTTGATTGTGCATTCTTCATGTTCATAATGGGTTCATCAGATTTGATCATATTTGTATATGACCTGAGCTTGAATATTGAAACTTAGAAGTTCGCCAATGTCTTCTAAAAGTATTTGGTGATGTGAAAATGTAATAGTCCCCTTCTAAACCCAAAGGCACACGAATAAGTAAGAACAAGTACTAAGATCATGGTGGCACATATTTTTCGGTTGAGTCATCAATTAGAAGATCGTAGGCTCGAGTCAGAAGCCTTCATCTTTCAAACATTTGGATATTACACATACCAATAATTTTGACTATATATATATATATATATATATATATATATATATTGAAATCAACAGACTTAGCAACTCACATAATCAACATTACAAAAATAGTGATGACATGATGTAAAAAATTCCTATTATTTCCCACCTTAATGAGTTACAATCAAGATATAAAGAGGCAATTAACTCATAACAGATTTCATGGTGAACACCTTGAGGACATAAGAAAATACTAAAAAAGAGTGTAAGATAGCAATAAATTAATCCAAAATAAAAAACATAAAAAAGAGAAATGTTTTAATGAAACAACCATAAAAACCAAAATCAAAGTAGGATCTCACCAAGGTCTATTGTAGAGGCAGCTGTCGAGGATAGTAGGTATGGTGTGGGATACCTAAAGATCTATCCAATTAAAGCATAATATTAATTAGAGTCTTGTGTAGTTGGTGGTAACTAATAATGCTTCTAATCTGATGGTGGTGGACACTCGCTCAAGTTTCCTAATCGGTAGAATACCCGTACTAATGCTTGTGACAATTGTTGTAGCTGATCAATGTCTATCAACTCTTATTGTCGATGAATCTGTCTGTAAGTAGCATACATATAGTACTCCTGCTAGTACAATTGGTAAGTAGCAACACTATAAGTGTTGTTAGCTGTATTGTCAACCTGTCATATATTCTCAATAAGATCAGCTAGCGTCGTGTTGACACCCTCCATCCAACTTCGTACCTCTTGATTATGTTTGTCATGCCTCCCTGTGAACTCCTTTATTGCTACCTGCATATTCTATCTCAGACCGGCTGTATGTTCTTGTTGTTGTGGTTGGTTTTTTTTTGAAAATCATTAACAAATGACTCATCTTCATCCCCTACTCCATGTGGGGTTGTGTAGGTCATATTTTTGGCAGAGTTTAGTATACTACATCTCATACTTATAAGTATGAAATAAAATATGTCGAAAAGAGGTTGCAACATGGCGAAAAATATGATGTTATGATGTAGCTCATGGGATACTGATCCTATTCCTGAACTCCCTAGTTACACATGTCGATATCAATGTAACATGAAGGGTGGCGACTATGTTCTGATATCAAACGAGAACCATATGTATCACATGACATTATATGGATAAGAAACAAAGATGGATCTTATCATCACTCTCTCTCTCTCTCTCTCTATATATATATATATATATATATATATATATATATATATATATATCCTCACCGCCTTTGAATCGTTATTCCTCGGGTTTAGATTATCTATGGCAACCCTCTGCAATGCCTTTGCTAAAGGAATTAAATCACGGAACCTATCGTATGATCTTATAACCTTGTGGAATACTTGTCACACCCCCAAATCAGAACAACAAAAACGTATGGGATGGATGACTTCATGTATAGTATCATAACATAATGAATAATAGTGATCAAAGTCATACAACAATCATATTGATAATTAATAAGTTTACATTGTACTCAAAAATATTGTTCACTTGATATCAAATACAAATGACAAAAGTAAATGGCGTGATATTGCGACGCATAATCCTCAAAACTATTTTGATTACATATTTACTGATTTCCTGAGAATATAAGTGGTTTTGAAAAAGTGTCAACAATTAAGTTGGTAAGTTCATAAGAGTTATGTATGAGAAAATCTTCAATTTTTCCTTGTAAAAATGATAGAGTGTGCATTCAGAAAATCCAATATTTTCTTTTAAAAATGAGTTGTAGGTCCTAAACCCAAAGACCAAAAATTGTAGGTAGTGCTGCACTGGAAAATAACATTATGTAGTTTTATCATTATATAAAACTAACTGAATGTATTTTAGGCTTGTAAACCAAATGTATTGTTAAATACCCCATGTGAGTTATTATAACCGTGCTAACAACTAGTTGGCCTGCTACGGCGTTCTTCAGGCATCAGAATGTTATACATTTGTCACCTAGACCTGTTAGTCTAACTGTAGCTAACAACTTAGGTGTGGGGTTGTTATTCCTGTATAAATCTATACACAAGTTTCATGTTCTCTTACCGAGACTCGGGTTATAATTCAGGAACTTTAGTATGTACTCAAGTAGGTACGGTGAAGGCATGTCTCAGAAAATTTATATTAACCGGTTTACTTCTAGTGTAATAAAAACCCCTTTTTGGAAATGAAAGTATTACCCTTCCATAGCGGTTACATACTGTAAAAATAATTATACCTTTAAATAATTATATGGTACGTACAAAATGATAAAATAGTATTTGTGACTCATAAACTATATCAATTAGAGTTTATTATGAATGTCTTGTTAAGTCTATTTATATAGTCATTTATATAAATACGTAATAGTTATCTTGTCTAGATATTTATAAAATACTATATCATATAAACTTACATCTAAAACAAGAATGAGATGTTTGGAATGAAAAAGTCAATTTCTAGCTTTTGCCCTTTTTTAACGATATTTACAGGTAAAACAAACCAAATATAACTTGTTAAAACTTACTTTTACCCTTCTTGGGGTTTTTACTCAAGTTAACTTTATGTCTTTTTAAAACCATATATTTTTATTTAAAATCCACAAAGTGATGTCCTAAACTTATTATGACCACTTTTGTTTAAAATTCCACATTTACATAAAATGATGGATTTTGAATTTTCTTTTGTGAAGCTAATTCCTTGGTGTTTTGTCTAGCTTTCAAAAATACATGTACTAAACAACATAATTTTTGGGTTATATCCCACAAAAATGGTGAAAAGATCTAGGATCTTACCATTCTTGCTAGAAACCATATTTGGAATGATAAAAACCTTATTCCTTGCAACTTTGTGTTTTTTAACCTTTTCTAAAGAACATATAACATAGTTTATGTTGTTTTTCCTTAGTTTTACATCACTAACTAATATATCATAGATAAAT